CGCTCTGTCAGGAAGTTCTTCCTCATGTTTAGCTGAAAACTCTTCTGATTTAATTTCAACCCCTTTGGTTCTGGTCCAACCTTCTGGGGCAACAGAAAACAGCTCCACATTATATGACAGCCCTTTGAGTACTTGAAGATGGTTATCATATCATCTCTCAGTCGTCTCCTCTCCAGGCTAAACAAACCCGGCTCCTTCAACCTTTCCTCATAGGACTTGGAGGACATTAATTCATTGGGTCGCCGTATGTCAGACAGCACTTCACGCATGGAGCTACATACACACAAAAGCACTAGTTTCATGAGCAGCGAATGTTAGGATTTTTTTTTTTAAGCATGGAATTTATTTATGACTAATTCATACGCTTCGTGACTGATTTAACTACCGGTATCTATTTAAACGATTGCTGGCTGAGTGGAGCAACAGCACACAGCAAGGGAGGGAGGAGAACTCACTCAGGCCTTGCGCGAAAACTCTGTTGGTCTGTACTGTGCTGTTAGGAACAAATCGTTGAAGCAACTTGACGAACAGACGAACAGTCTGTCAGAACATCAGTTCATGATTGGCAAGGAAGTGAACCGAACTGGCAGATTCTTGTGGGTTGGCCTGGAGGAAAGGGCAAGAGCAGCTCCCCCGGCAGCTAAGTAACAGCCTTCTCCCAGCTCTCCCCTTCCTGATTAGCAACACCCGAAAGAGGTTGAGGACACCGAGAATGTGAGATAGAAATGGCCGATGTCCTGATCCTCCTATCTGAGTTCTGTAAAGGTAAAGGTTCCATTGCTCGAAAGCCAGTCAAGTCTGACTCTAGGGTTGCGGTGCTCATCTCCGTTTCAAAGCCGAAGAGCCAGCGCTGTCCGAAGACGTTTCCGTGGTCATGTGGCCGGCATGACTAAACACCAAGGCGCACGGAACGCTGTTACCTTCCCACCGAAGTGGTACCGATTTATCTACTTGCAATTTCTTGCTTTCGAACTGCTGGGTTGGCAGGAGCTGGAACTAGAGATGGGAGCTCACTCCGTCATGCGGCAACTCGGGTCTCGAACTGCCGAACTACTGACCTTCCACAGCTTGCAGTTCAGCGTCTTAACCACTTGAGCCACCGCAGCTCTGAGGGAAGCATAAAACCTCCTTGGTGGAGGGCATCAGGCAGATCCCCCCCCCTGGGCCCACCCCTGTCTTAGTCAGGAGGCAGAGAGCGTGTCCTTATGCCCTGATGGATATTTACTTCTTCCAATTCCATATCATGGTGCTTTTCGAAATGGAACTAAATCTCACGCACCCATGCGCTCTTGAAAAGCATAAAAACAAAGAAGGAGCTTTCCATCTGAATCAGCCCCAAATGAGAAGCCTAAAAATAATTTCGCATTAACCTTTGGAATTTTCACACTGCTAAGAGCTGAGCCGAGTGGGTTGTTTGCTATTAAACGCTCCGCACAATCAAATATGGCAGAATGGAAGGAAAATGACTTGCTCTCGACCGTGAACTTGCAGCGCTTCTGAAATGTTACTGGGAGTACAAACGTGTAATTAGCTTAATGGATCAGATTGAGTTTATAGGTCTTGAATTTTACTTTTCATTTGGATTATAGATATGATTAACCCCTAATGTGTTAAGTAAGACTCAGAGAATCTACATTATTAGGCATTAAAAAAAACCCTGAGTTTTTGTGCAAAATATTTCCTTTTGAAATTTGTTGAGATACCATAGTTTGGAATTGGATAATTCTCCATGCTCTGCACTCAAATCCAATATACTATTGGACCCAGAGAGGAGACTTAAGTGTTGTGAGACAGAAGAAATGCATTTTAAACCACTTCTACAAGCCATGTATTAGCCCTGGGGGAAAATTTGACACCTGTAGCTCATATATAGAGGGAAGATGGCATTGTATAGCCTGATTGCATCAGATCGCAGAAGCTATGTAGTGTTGGTACTTGGAAGGGAGACCTCCAAGGAAGACTGTGCAGGGAAAGGCAGTGGCAAACCACCTCTGCTTCTTGCTTGCCTTGAAAGCTCGTTGCTAGGGTCACCATAAGTTGGCTGTGACTTTACAGCACTTTAAGAACATAAGAACATTAGAGAAGCCATGTTGGATCAGGCCAGTGGCTCATCCAGTCCAATACTCTGTGTCACATAGTGGCTAAAACCCATGTGCCATCAGGAGGTCCACCAGCAGGGCCAGAACTCCAGAAGCCTTCCCACTGTTGCCCCCCCCAAGCACCAAGAATACAGTCAATCACTGCCCCAGACATAGTGTTCCATCTATACCTTGTAGCTAATAGCCACTCATGGACCTCTGCTCCATATGTTTATCTAATCCCCTCTTGACGCTGTCTATGCTTATAGCTGCCACCACCTCCTGTGGCAGTGAATTCCATGTATTAATGACTTTGTGAGTGAAGAAGAGTGAAGAAGTACTTCCTGTTATCTTTTCTAAGCCTACTGCTCATTAATTTCGTTGTCCATGAGCTGTTGTATTGTGAGAAAAGGAGAAAAGAAGAAGACCCTAGCAAGCAGTTTTAAGGCAAGTGAGAAGCAGATGTGGTTTGCCATTGCCTTCCCTTGAAGAGTCTTCCTTGGAGGGCTCCCTTCCAAGTACCAACCCTGCTTAGTTTCTGAGATCTGATCTTATTTATACCCCGTTCTTCACTCGGAAATCTCAGAGCGGTTTACAACTCCTTTCCCTTCCCCTCCCCACAACAGACACTCTGTGAGGTAGGAGGGGCTGAGAGAGCTCTTTCCAGAGTTGTCCTTGAGAGAACAGCTCTGACAGAACTATGGCTTGCCCAAGGTCATCCAGCAGCTGCAAGTGGAGGAGTGGGGAATCAAACCCGGTTCTCCCAGATTAGAGTCCCCGCACTTAACCACTACACCAAACTTCTTTCTCTACCTTCTCTATCACATGCATAATTTTGTAAACCTCTATCATGTCACTCCTCAGTCATCATTTCTCCAAGCTAAAGAACCTAACCTCCACAGGGAAGGTGTTCCAACCCCTTTAGTCATTTTAGTTGCCCTTTTCTGCACCTTTTCCAATGCTATAATACTTTTTTGAGGTGTGGTGACCAGAACTGTACACTGTATTCCAAATGAGGCCACACCATAGATTTATACAAGGGCATTACGATACTGGCTGATTTGTTTTCAGTTCCCTTCCTAATAATCCCCAGCATAGCATTTGCCTTTTTTATTGCAGTTGCACACTGAATCAACATCTTCAGTGAGTTATCTACTACAACTCCAAGATCTCTCTCCTGGTCAGTAACCACCAGTTTGGACCCCATCCACATATATTTACAGTTAGGATTTTTGGCTCCAATGTGCATTACTTTGCACTTGCCCACATTGAACCTCATTTTCCACGTTGATCCCTCTGGAGTGCCTCACAGTCCTCCCTGGTTTTCCCCGGCCTGAACAGCTTAGTGTCATCCGCAGACTAAGCCACTTCACTGCTTACTCCCATTAACGAACAAGTTACAAAGCACTGGACCTAGAACTGAGCCCTGCAGTACCCCACTGCTGACTGCCTTGCACTGTGAAAACTGTCCATTTATACTCACTCTCTGTTTCCTGTTAGTTAACCAGTTTTTAATCTACAATACGACGCCCTCTTATCCCATGACTGCTGAGTGTATTTAGGAGCCTTGGATGATGAACTTTATCAAAAGCTTTCTGGAAGTCTAAGTAAACAGCATCTACTGGGTCACCCTTGTCCACATGTTCGTTCACCCCCTCAAAGAACTCTAAAAACTCCAGAGCTCCCCTGCTTCCTGCTTGCTTCACTGCCACCTTCACCTGCCTGGCTGACATCTCAGCAGCAGCTCTCACTCCTTCTTCTCCCCCATTCTCCTCCCTCCGTCCTCAAAATGGTGACTGAGATCTTGTGACATAGCGTCTCAAGATCACCCCCCAAAATTGTTTTAATTTTTTTTTTAGTATTTTCTGCAAACTTCCTCATCTGTAGAAGAACCCCTTATATTCAGGGCTCTAGTCGGGGGGGAGCTCTCAGGTACGGAGCTCCGGAAGAGAACCTCTAGGGGGCGGGGCGATCATGTGGTGAAGCCCCGCCCCCTTCTTTACCCCGCCCTCTGCTTCGATCCTCATTCCGTTTGGGAATGAGGATGAAGCAGGAGGGTAAGTAGCCGGGCCTTCTGACACACTTCCGGTGATGTCAGGGGGTGTGGCCTTCTGTCACTTCCGGTGATGTCAGGGGGCGTGGCATATGCAAATAAGTTATGCTAATGAGTTATGCTAATGAGCTCCGGCAGCTCTTTTTCTACAACAAGACCCCTGCTTATATTCATAACTGCCCCCATTCTCTGGGTGTTTTGATCCGCACAGGGGTCAGGTCCAGAATGCCAGTTTAGCAGCAGTGTCCCATTTTAGCACCAATGCCTCATGGCCAATGATACACCTGTCCTGCGTTATTTGTCAAGTCCTTTTCAGTGTTCCCTCTAAGCTGAGTTAGTGTGAGCTAGCTTGTAGATATTTAGCCTCCAGCTCACACATTTTTGTCTTAGCTCAGGAAGGATGGCTCCGGAGCAAACTAATTTATGCAGCAGCCAAATCACTCGCTCACAACTTTAATGTCCGTAGCTCACAAAGTAGAATTTTTGCTCACAAGACTCCCCAGCTTAGAGGGAGCACTCCTTTTATATACTCTGTTAAAAAATGTGTTTTTCATAAGCTAACTATACAGATCTGTTCTGATCCCACAACTGATCAATCGTGTCTTCCCCCTGTTCTTTGACTCTTGGAATGGGCAACTGTTTCCCCAAAGCATCGATGCCTGTATTGTTTGTGGGTTTTAGTTGTTGCTGTTTATGCCTGCTTGCAAACAATTTTAAAAAATTTAAATAATTATGTTACAGCTTTGAGAAAACATTTCTGGAATGGGACAAGGAGAACGACGATCCCCAGTTTGTGGAACTTATGGTGACCTACATTAATGACTTCGAAGAATTGTTGTAAGTTTGTTTCCTTGTTTTATGTATATCCGTTGCTGTTTCAGGAACCAATATACAGAGATTGCAGGATATGAATATTCCAAATACATTAATAACTTCACTTTTAAAATCCTGTTTGTAAAGAAGATGTATGGGATAGATCTCAGAGTCGAAGTGATAGTTTGTAGTGAATTTTACCCTAAATTTACTTAATAGAAAGGGAAGAAACAGAAACAGATGAGAAGCATCTGGCCAAGGAGGATTTCCATGCCCAGCTCCAGGAGTTCAAATGAGTAGTAGAAGAAGAGTAAGTTTTTATACCCCACTTTTCTCTACCTCACGGAGTCTCAAAGTGGCTTACAATTGTCCTTCCTTTCCCCTCAACAGGCACCTTGTAAGGTAGGTGGGCTGAGAGAGTTCTGAGAGAACAGTGACTGGCCCAAGGTCATCCAGCAGCCTTCATGTGGAGGGGGGGAACCAAACCTGGTTCTCCAGATTAGAGTCCATGGCTGCTAGCCACTATACCACGCTGGCTCTCAGGAGGAGGAAGGGACTCAGGGTGAAAAATAATCTTCATGGGTCCCTACCGAGGCCATGATGAAGAGATTCCTTGACACCATGTCAGTGCCAGGAGGACAAAACTTGTTTTTTTGTTCTGCTTTTTAAACAAATAACCATCCTGGTTCCTAAGGGCCTCTTCTTGTTCAAGCAAACCAGAATGTATATTTTCCCCTACACTCGGTGATCTGTACAACATATACGTGTAATGTATAGTCAGGTTGGGGGTCAGTATGGAGGCCCACAGCAGGGCAAACACTTTCCCTCCACAGCTATTTCAGCTCTAGAAAACATCATGGAAGGAAAGGCTGGAGCTCCTCCTCCTTGGCGCTCATAACCCAAATCCATCCTGCAGGGAACATTAGCTCCCTATTGTCACATTGGACAGCCATTGTGTCATGTGACACACCATTGGCTAGTTGAGCGCATAGTATTTTTAGCATACATGCCAAACACACACATCCCACAGGTGTAATCAGTTCTCTGCTATTATAGCTCTGGTTTGTGGATGGGCTCTTCTGCTGCGTTTTTCAGGATCCAGATGAACACTAACATTATAACGCCCCTAGATGGCATAGTACCTCCAGTAATTAGCAGGATGGTAAAAGGGGGGAATCCAGCTCCCTTGCTAGAGCACAGTAACTCTGAAAGGTTGGCCCAAGCAGGCAATTCTTGTAGCATTGCTAATTATTTTGCAACTACTTTTAAATATTTCCTTGGACATTGGCAGTCGTTTTACAGGACAAGCTTTTAAAGTGATTTATGTTATGGCTCTGCCAAATATTTCCTCATTTTGATTTTCACTGCAAAAATAATCCTTTGGGGTTATTTCCTTGGGCATTGGCAATCGTTTTACAGGACAAGCTTTTAAAGTGATTTATGTTATGGCTCTGCCAAATATTTCCTCATTTTGATTTTCACTGCAAAAATAATCCTTTGGGGTGGCAGAAATATTTCCTCCCTTAATTGTGACAATTTTCACCTTTTTCCTATCGTGTTTGCTGCCGTGGTTTCTACTGTCTGCTGCTGTTTCAGTCCCACCCTCACCCCCCAGTGTTGTTTTCCTTCCTGGATGAATTTGATTTCATCCCTAATTTTGACCTAAAGTGGCTTGCATTATTGTCCTCTACTCCATTTAGTCCTGTGAGGTAGGTTTGGCTGAGAGTGTGTGACAGGCCCAAGGTCACCCAGCAAGCTTCCATGGCAGGGCAGGGGTTCAAACAGGAGTCTCCCAGAGCTTAGCCTGACGCTCATATCACTACACCAACACTGGGTCTCAATAGGCAATTCCAGCCAATCAGAGATCAAAACAGCTATCAGGGTGATGTTGCAAAGCTGGATTCCCAGTCCAATTTGGCTTGGAAATCAAGCAAAGCCACGTTAGAGTAAGGGCATTGCTTCCTGGCTCAGTCCTGGGTCAAGATGGGTAGCCATTTAAGTCTGTCTGTAGCAGCAGAAATTAGCAAGAGTCCAGTAGAACCTTAAAGACTAACAGTTGTTTCTGATGTGAGGATAAAGTGGAGGAGGGAAGAATGTTGTTGTAAGCCGCTTTGGATCCCCATTGTGGAGAAAAGCAGAGTTGTTGTTGTTCAGTCGCACAGTCAAGTCCGACTCTTCGCGACCCCATGGACCAGATCACGCCAGACCTTCCGGTCTTCCACCGTCCTCTGAAGTTTGCTCAATTTCAGGTTCGTTGCATCTATGACACTGTCTAACCATCTCATCCTTTGCTGTCCCCGTCTCCTTTGACCTTCAATCTTTCCCAGCATCAGGGTCTTCTCCAGGGAGTGCTCCCTTCTCATTTGGTGGCCAAAGTATTTGAGCTTCAGTTTCATTATCTGGCCTTCCAGGGAACAGTCAGGGTTGATTTCTTTTAGGAAAAAGGCAGAGTATAAATATCTAAATACAATAAATAAATCT